ACAATCAGGTCTTTGTGATAGCTTAAAATCTTAGTGAAATATCAAATCAATACGTCTGAGTGATACAAGTTATAAGTTAGGGACTTCAGGAAAGATCAGTAATTACTACGTATATTAAAAAGAAACAACTCTCGAACACCTCGTTTAACTGTAGCGATCTACCAAAAGTGCACGTTAACAATATCATATTTGGTAAATATAGCATCTTGCCTTGTTGTTTTACTGCAAGATCAATAATAGTAAAAATAGAATTATGTTGTATTTTTTATAACTTTGTGAAAGCATTTTTTAGGAAATCCATAGATTCAAAGTAAACAAAAAATTTTCTTAGTTTAAAAATGTAAGTAGAACCTTGATAGCCATCAAAGTATATGAATAAGGAGCTGATGAATGTGTGTTTTTTAGTAATAGAATTTTCTTTATATCTGACGTATTATTAGTTGCATAAAAATATGTTAGTGTAGTAATAATAGTAATAATATTAAAAGTAGTTTCATTATTATCTTATTCACGTGATTTATCATTATCTCCTATTTTGTTGGCCTAAGTTTTCTTATGTTTGCCTTTATTATTTATAGGATGCATTGTAATTAGGTGGAGTTTGTTATTGTTTTATTGTTGTTATTTAAGGAACTAGAGACATGTATATAGTTGTTAGTTGTTTGAATAATAAAGGTTTGAGGAATATCTTTATTTAAGATGTGAGAGATTAGATCAATATCTATAGTTTATAGACTTTTAAATTTAAAAGTTGAGTCAATAGTAGTCATAATATTGTTATTACTGATAATAATATTATTGATAATTTGTTTGAGAGGGGTTTTTTAGTTTTGGAAAGAAATATCAGAAGAAATTTTTGTTTTTTTTAAAATAGTAGTTTGGTTTGTATTTTTGTTTAAGTTACTTGAAGAGTTAAAAGTGTTATTATTATTGTTGTTGTTATTGTTTCTTTTATTATTTAAAATATTTTGAGAACTTTTTTGTGTATTATTTATTTTTATTTTATTTAGTTATTGCTATTTTTTAATTATTTTGAAAAAAAAAGGAAGAGATTTTTTTTTAATTTTGAATTAGCCAATATTAAGATAATTATGATTAAATTATCAGGTAAAATTATAATTAAATAAATTTCTACTTTAAATAAAAGGAGTTTAGATTTTAGAAATACAATTATAATTATCAAAATATTAACTAATTCAAAATTAGCAATATTTAGCTCATTAGATATATCTAGTCGTAAGAATCAAATGTTTTTTTAGTGTTCAGATTCAGTAATTTTTGGCTTAAGTTTTGCTATGAATTTATATGACTTAATTACTGTCAAGAAAAATAGTCTTACTTAACATGTGAACAGAAACTGTAACTCTTATAGCTCAATTTAAAACTTATTTAGTCCTACTGATAACTTGCTTAACAGGTTTCTAATCCAAGTCTGACCCTACCTATAAAGCCTCAATAGACTTCAAAGTAGTGAGTGGATATTGTTAGATAATTAGCTGTATTACTAGATAGAGATATCATTTTTAGCTATAGCGATAGTTTTCATAGTTTTTACTTTGTAATTAACGTGTTAACTATAAACTAAGATCTGATAAACTCTTTGTGATACTTTATATCATATACAAGTATAGCTTCACATAGACATTATATACCTAATTTATCAGTTTTGCATTTTACGAAATGACTTTACAAAACTTATGCTCTGGGAGTTACCATAACTGATAGATAATATGTAAACTAGATGATATCAAATGCTATTCTGACAAACATCCTAGGAATTAAATCCAACCTTTACCCCTAGCATAAGATTTAGATGTTATGATAATTGAAAATAATGCAAGATCAGCCAATTGTAACCACAACTATCTATCCATTTGAGGTGACAAATTTCCAACTAGCTATAATTACACATTATCTATCATTAGATACTACCCAATTGGGTAAAGATATAATGCAAATAATGTGATATTATCTATTACAGATAACATTCTCCTATTAGTCTTTAGTTCAATGTTTTTATTCCAAGCACAGGGTCATCATATTCTACAAATCCTGATCTATTACGTATAGTCAATTCTCTATAATTATACACCCCTTAGGATTAAGTATAAGTATGCATTTAGAGAGAGTGTGCACTTATAGAATAATAAGAATCACGTGATTTATATATTGAATATGATGTTTTATTATTTATTAAGAATTATAGAAATTACAAATAAAACAATTATTATTATTATAAAACAACTATCTAAAGTATTGATCTAGAGTAGTCTGTTGTATTGAATTGGTTTATTCTTTTTAATAAATTTTTTAATTTTACCTACCAATTTTATTTGTTCACTTGCATTCTCCTGTTGAAGCAAAAATAAATTCATAGTCTTTAAACTTTATAATATATTATTAATGCAAATAATTTCTATTTCAACTATCATCTGCTTCATCTGGGTGAACTGCAAGCCTATTTTTAAACATATCTACAAATTCTAAAATGTTATCAGGAATTTTATAAATCATATCTTCTTCAGAAATAGTTAAAAATTCTTTTACCTGCATTGTATTTGGCAAATGAAGAGCTTTAATAGCTTTGTTAAGTTCATTTCAAGTATCAGTTTGCCATTAAGCATCAGCTCATTTTCAAGCATTTGTTTATTATCAGATATCTGTCTATCATCAAATATCTGTTCATTAGAAAGAATTTTAAAGTAATTCTAACAGTTTTTGATAGTGCTCCGTAAGGGTCAGGTCAGGTCGGGTTTGAAGCAAATTCGAACTCAAACCTGTTAATAATTATAGAACCCGATTTCAACTCGACCTGATTATTGTTCGACTCAGTTCAACCTAAGATTGACTCGAATTTCAAGGGTAATATTAATTCTGAAATAAAAAAATGTCGTATATAAAGTTTATTTTATTTTTATAATTGCTTATTTTCATTTTTTTTATATTAATTCCTAACTATTTTTTTTTACATTTTTTTCCACCAGGATTTCAAACACATACTTGCGTGAATTGTATTAGCTTTAAGATCACATCTTTTGGTCAATATTAGATCAGTTCCGTCAGAAAAACTCATTCTACTGATACACTTGTTGCTTTATTAAAAAAGTATATGTTAATGTTTAATAACCAATATATATATATATATTTATTTATTTATTTTTACCTG